TTGAATTCCCACACCAGCAGGTAATACTGAAATTAAGTAGGTTTGCAATTGTTGCACTGTAGAATAAGTTAACGACTTGCTTGTTTACGCCGAAATAGTACAGTTTTTTGAGGTAGAACAGTCTTTGGTTGAATTTCTTATACAGGATTTTGCCGTGCTCATGCCATGTTAGCTTATTATTAATGGTGACACCTAAGAACTTGTATGCCTCCACTTTCTCTACACTTTGATTTTTTATGTTGAGATCTGTAATCTGGTGTTCCTCCCTCCTGAAATCAACAACCATTTCCTTTGTTTTTGAGACAATCAACTGGAGAAAATTTTCATCGCACCAATTGATAAAGCTTGTAACGAAGTTGCGTTATAGGCCTTCTCCTTCAGATATTAAGTCAACAATGGTGGAATCATCAGCAAATTTTAAGATTGGAATGGTGTCGCTTGAACTTTGAATATCATTGGTGTATATTGTATGCAGTAGAGGGGAGAGAAAGCATCCTTGTGGCACCCCGGTGCTTACTTCTCTGGTTAGAGATACTTGGTTATTTACCTTGACCTATTGTGGGCGGTTTGTTCAAAATTTCAGTATCAAAGTCTGAATATTTTAATTTGACGCTTAACGATGAAAGTTTCTTTATCATAAGGTGTGATTGGATAGTGTTAAATGCTGATGAGAAGTCTAAGAAAAGCACTCTGGCATAGTGGTGTAGTATGGGAAGGACTGCGATCAGGTTCAAGTAATAAATGAATGGACACATGGATAGGAGGGAAAAAAACCCGGCAACATTTTTGTTAAAAGTTTGTATTGTCTCGTCCGTCTTCAGATTATTACCCAACCATCTGTGATCGATTTCATATACGGTGAGTTGCTGCTTGGGCAATAGTGGCCGAAGTGTCCAGTGGAACATATGTACACCCAAAGTCTTCTCTTGGATCGACCAGTGTACTTAGTTTTCTACTCCATACAGAATGTTTAAGAATTCCCCCACAATCAGAAAACTCCTGCCAGGACTTTAAACGGTGCCCTCAATATAATTATTTTTATCATCAACAAACAAACGACAGTTTAGAAGGATTTTACGTTGCTAAAAAAAAAAAAAAAAAAAAAGGCAGCAGTACGAGATCAATTAAAACAGCTTTCGGGGGCTGTATGATCAACCGGTGGCTTAAACATAGCTAACACAGGTTGGCACTCATCTTTACGTCACGTGTTGATATTAATCCATGAAGGCTGGATTTTTTAAAAATAAGTGTTAAATATGTGTGAATCTTGTGAGGTTTTTATATATTTTATATTTAAAAAATGTATTTTTTTTTCTTTTCCTAAAGTGTGTATAATTTAGGCGTGTATTTATTTATACGTGTGTAAGAGAGAGAGAGAGAGAGAGTTAGAAAGAGAGACATAGAGAGAGAGAGGAGGAGGAAATAGAAAAAGAGAGAAAAGAGACAGTGGGAGATGGGGAAGAGATAGAGGAGAAGAGAGAGAGAGAGAGGGGAAAAGAGAAAGAGAGAAAAAGAGAGAGGGAGAGAGAAAGAAAGAAAGACAGAAAGAAGGAGAGAGAGAGAGAGAGAGAGAGACAGAGAGACAGAGAGAGAGAAATAGAGAGAGTGCGCGCGCACGTGTATATATGTGTGTGAAGCAATCGCGCTGTTACAAAGCAGGTTGGAGAACCCCTGAGTTTAAATTAGTAGAATGATTTAACAATCCTTATAACTCCCAGCCGCCCCCTTCCTTCCGTACACCCATTAGTTCTCCCCCCAGTGTCCCGATGGCAAGCCATAAGGGTGAAACAACATAAAAACAGAAAATATACGGCGCACCCCGCTGTCCGATTTTCCCCTAACAAGATGTGTTTTTCATATGCTTTAGTGTCAAAATGCGTGTAATATAAGTCAGCCTTTATCAGCAGTCATGCGCCGTGGGTAATATTGCTCGCTCCACGCCGAGACCGAGGCTCTTCCCCGACGGCTGAGCACTATATTTACAAGCTGAGGCATCCACCCCCCGAAGAAACCCAACTCGTCTTGTACCGTTCCCCAAGCACGCGACTAATAAAAGAAGGTCTAATTTGTGCCGATCTATTTTTTTTTTTTCTCCTTTTTTTAAAAAAAAAAAACGGGCCCCCCCCCCCCCCCCCCCCCTTTTTTTTTTAACTCTAAGGCTGAGAGACGGCGTCCAATTTATGTCAGAAATACGTCTTAATTAAATAATTGTGGAATTATTATTGTATTATTTATGGCGGTAAGGATTTCCTGTAGGCTAAGTAGTATTTACTATAGGCTAAGTAGCAAATTGACTTTCCTACAAGCTCAGCAGCATTTTCTATTGGCTAAGTAGGTTTCCCCATATAGGCTAAGTAGGTTTTCATTGAGTTTGAGAAGGATTTCCTATAAATGAAGTCAGAAGGCTTTCCTAGAGGCTAAGTTGATGATAAGCCTAGGGCCTCCAACATCTAAGGGACATAAACATTCAAGAAGCCACATTTCATACATTCCCACTAGAAATAAAATTAAATACGTAAAAAATATAACAGATTATATTTAAAAAAAATAATTTTTAAAGATGTATCACACTTGATTTATGCTAAATATAACAGAGCCTAATGGGCGATTCCGTGTTACTCCAGGCCCTTAGGCTTCGAGTTTCTATGGGCCCTATTTGGAATTTTCGATAATGCAGCATTGTCATGTCAGCGCTAAAAATTCCATGGGCCCCTGGTCTTGGTGGACCCCTAGAATTCAGCCTGGTCTTTATGGTCACCCTTGTGGATATTACAGCTCTGCCAATGCGGTGATATTTAAAGAGCCGTCACAATGCTTCTAATATTTGAGGCACCCATAGTTTTGATGTGAAAAAAATAATACAGCAATAAGTATTGAATAGTTGGGAAAAAACAACAAAAAAAGTAAAAAATAAACGAAAATCGGGCAAGGGGGGGGGGGGGCCTCTTGTATTCACGCGACGGCTCAGGATATTAAAGGAACTGTTTACTTAAAGATGGCTGTGGGGTAGACACGGCTCATGGTTTAGTATGACATTGTTTCACTGCTGGGCTTAAGATTGTCTTTAAATAAATGCAGACACCCCCTGACCACTCAATAAATTTAATCGGCTGTTCTGCTGTTGATTGCTGCCTTGAGGCAGTCCTTGAGGCAGTTAACTGTTCTGACATTATTAATATCACAGTTTCCTGTCCACCTTCTCCCTCCGAGAGCTGGACAGATTTAAAATCATTTGTCCAATCTCATTTGCAGTTGTCTAAATATTATTTTTTTTATTTGACAAACTCGAGCCGATGATCCTTGGAGAAAGTAGACGAATCTGGATCTGTGTTTAGGATACAATTGTGGGCATCTTGTCTGATACGTTGTTTAGATTTTAAGTCAGTAAAAAAAAAAATATTAATAAACCAAAAGTTTTACTGAGTAAATTATGCTATTTTTAATTATTATTAATTTTTTTTACAATTTCACTTTGTGATTTTTAAAACAAATTTCAAGAGTATTTTGATTAACTAAATATTAACTTGTTTTCGTTAATTATCAAAATATCTACTCTAAAAGGCCCGCTTCCTTCGTATTTCTTCTTCTGTTCTCGTCTATCGGGCAGGCGTCGCAGGGAATTTTTTAATGATAAATACTATTTAGTGATACACTGTAAGGTAGACTTTCACCAGTAATAATAAGATTTTTAAAAAAAAAATTGATAATAGATATACATAAAATATAAAACAGACTGGTGTTGAAAGCACTTAAATTTTTTTAACAACAGGGTGAGGGTGTTTGCAAAAGGGCCTCAAATTTTAATTAACCCATGGCCTATCTATAGTTAGATAAATCCGGCCCTGAATTGCTTATCGCCGAAAATGAGGCGAGTGGCTAGAATTGAGGGGGTGGATTGGGTGGGGGCGATGGGGTGCTGTGTATCTCCAAGTTCATAAAAAGAATCATGACTGCATAAATGGAAAATGTGTCATCACACCAATTCATTTTAATTATAATACAAACCTTAGGATTTTCAGAAATAGTTTAAAATCAATATATAAAAGACTCATACAGTTAGGATAAGCTACAACTATGTTGAGCTTTAATTTCACGGATAGAATGATAAAAACGAAAACGTTGGAGCACATTCCTGTAAAATTAAAGTTACGTGAAGCTACAAACATTTGTAACGTTTCTATTCTGCTTTAATAAAGCAACAAAAATAAAGTAAAAAATGTGGCCACTTTTTGTTGTTGTTGTAAATTGACTTAATCCATCGCAGCTTTATGTCTGGGCGTTTCCTATGTTATATGCACTTTTTAGTTTCGTATTTCTTCAATGGAAAATGAAGAATGAACTGTTTCAAATTGAACGATCCTCTGAGGTAGCGATTGCTAAATTTTCATGTTTCTTGAAATAGAACGTTCAAACCACTCGATCAGCGGAACACGCTGGCAAAGAATGTCATTAGAACGTGTTATAAAATGTTAAACTGAGGTTACCTATCATCATCGAGTGTGACACGAGCTCCCTCCTTAATAACAAATGATAATTCTTTGGGTGTGTAAGAAAGGCGGTAATGCTGGCTGTGTAAAATGCGCGCACGAAATAAAATTCCCAGAAGATACAAACAGCCCATTGGGCTTCTTATCAACTGTGTTATACTTGAATGCATGTTTTATCTAGAAACTTTATTAAGTACACGCCCCTGCCCGCCCCCCCCCCCCCCGACGGGGCCCGTTGCCTGGCAGGTTATTTCTAGTTACTGCAATATCATGACACTCTTGACATAAGAAGAAATGACATTTTTTCATTGCATTAAATGAAACTTTATACAAGTTGTCGTTATTTTTTTTCAATAGTTCATGGACTGACCTTGTAATCAGATTCTTAAAGCCCAGTACTCATGTAATTAGATTCTTAAACCAAGTACTAATCGTGCAATCAGATTTTAACCCCAAGTACTCATGATGTAATCAAATTCTTAACCCCAAGTACTCACCCTGTAATCAGATGCTTTAACCCCAAGTACTCACCATGTATTCAGATCCACTGCTGGACGAGTTGTTGTCGTTGCAGGGGTCCTCAGTCCGGTTGATGCGGCTACCATGGAGCAGCTCCTCGAGACTCTCGATGTACTCAATCGCGTTGCGCAGGATCTCAACCTTCGGGAGCCGCTGGTTGGGGTTCGGGCAAGTCCGGCGCTTCAGCGTCTCAAAGGCTTCGTTCACCCGCTTCAGCCTCCTTCGCTCCCGCATCGTCGCCGCTTTCCTCCGGTCGATGGTGACTGTTTTCCTCTTGCACGCCTTGCACGCCCACAGGAGGCACCTCCGGTTGGGCCCGTGGTAGCCGGGGGCGAGGACGTGCGGGATGTGGTCGTCCGGATCATCGTCGTCGCACGAGTCGAGACCGTTTCCGGTATCGTTTCCACCGCAGCTCCCGTCGTCCATTTTGTCGCAGCCGTCCCCGTCGATGGAGGGCGAGCAGGGCTCAGCGTCCAGGAGGCTGCTCGCCGTCGGCTTGGCCACACTGCACGTCTTGTGACCGGTCAGTTCGTCGTCTACCAGGGTCTTCTCACGACGCTTGCTCACCTTGTCGCTGTCGTCTTTCGATTTGGCTGGAGACGCGCACGGTCGTTCCGGCTCCTTCGTGCTGAGAAAATGTTTCGACGTGTCGGCTGCTGGAACGGCGCCGCCAGCACCGCCGCTGCCCGGTGAAGAAAAACTTGGAGTCGCCCCACTGCGGGCGCGCCTCTGGTAATCCATTTGGCTGTTGGTGTAAAGGGCGTGGTGGTGGGCGTGGGCGTCGCCGTAGAAGTGCTGCGAGGAGTACCCGCCGTAGTTGTAGATGTCGGACGGATACTGCCTGGAGAAGGCGGCCCTCGGGTACGGCTGGTGGTGGGGGCTCAGCACGTCCTGGCGCGCCGCCGTCGAAGTCGGGTGGGTGTACGATATGTCCATGATCTGGCGTGGGTCCTGGAGATCGGTAGGGCTCGGGCCAAAGGTCCCACCCGTGAACATGGCCGGGGTGGTGTGTTCGTAGCGACAGCTGCGATAGTCCGCCATCATCATCATTTTGGTAGGCAATGACGTATGACGCACTTTTTAAAAAAAAAAGTTTTTCTCAACGTTCGAAAAATAACATTTGGATAATTAAATAAAAGAAATGTCACTACAGTAGAGTCTGCATGGTCTTAACGTTTCTTTAAAAAATAATGTTTGAATGTTTGAACAATCGTTCCAACAGTCACGAATGGGAAAGTTCTACATTGACAATGGTCTACTATATAAAAATTATTTTAGATTTGCCTGACTGGAAAAATCCACTTTGAACAGATATGGAGCGATTCTTTTCCAATATGAAATCCCATCAAGAGCCTTATTCTCTTCCAAACGACGTCACCAACCCACCAACTCGTGTTGAATACTTTCACATAAAGTTCTCAGTGGACTAGACGCTTTATGACGTCACTAATCTCTTCTCGAGTGACGCGGCTCTTGTCTCCCTCATGTCAGCACGCTCTCACATTCTTTGGGAGCTGCTTTTTGCATCAAGTCAAAACCCGACTTGATCTCACCTCCTCCTTTTCTTTCTTTTTTCTGTTTATGTATCTTTACTTCATCCCCCTCGCAACCTTCTCTTATCCGTGGCCCGGCTTGTATAATTCCTACTGAAGTACGTCCACGGCTATCACAAGTAACTGTCCTCGTGAAGCGGGAATTGTAAGACTAAGTTTCGACGCAGGAGCGAGTTTGGCGAGATCCTCCCCCACCACAAAAAAAGAAATATTTTTTTTTTATTGTTTTATTTGGACGCTCTGATGGAGACTGCGATAGAAAACCCTAACCGTCGAGTTTGGTGCCGACACGCTAACTTTTCTTTTTATTTCCCCTCAGCTGATTAGATCATAAAGTTCTTGCGAAGTCCTTGGATCCAGAGGGGGAAGTCAAACCTAAAAATAAGATATATAAGAATGAGATAAAGAAGAGAAGAAAGGAAACACACGCACAAAAATAGAAAAGAATTTTAAATGATTTCTCGGCATTCAAAAATTTGTTCGGGAAACAAAACAAAAAAAAAATGTCAGTTAGCCTATAAGTTACGCTCGGAAATAATTTGAAAACCTTCCGTTGGGAAATGACAAGCAAAAAAAAATAAAAATAAAAATTTTAATTCATCTTTCAAAAAAAAAATGATACTTAAACTGTGCCCGTAGACAATATTGAGCAGACGTCTATCTGATAAGCAGGCCATCAAGAATAAAAGCAACTGGATGAACCTCAGTGAGGGACCATATAATCGAATAGAAAAGGGAGCTGGGATCCAGCTAATGAAAGTGCAATACGGGGGTTAATCTCCCCGTGATGTGTGGCCCGGCCCTCTCTGAAGCTCGGCACTGGCTGGGTGTGACGACAAATCAAGATTTAGAGATTAATTTCACGTGATAGCTACTTGGCGGGATTTTTTCATCTTATTTTTTTCTCTCTGACTGTCTCTCTTCTTCTCTCCCTGTCTCTCTCTCCCCTCTCTCTCTCCCTCTCTCTCTCTCTCTCTTTTGACGTGCATACCATCTTTTTAGGTGTCTTTATTTTGTTTGTCTAAGGTAGATTAGAATTAAGTCGAGGTTTTTAGCCATCGTATTTCTTCCTTGATGAGTGTTAAAGTAAGAAGATTTGACCCCGGAGAAGATTTGACCCTGGAGAAGATTTGACCCCGGGGCTGGAATCAAAAATGTTTTGAAAGAAAGTCGCGTTGGTGCAATTTCGTTTAATCGTAATTAATCCGTGAAAAAAATGTACTTACAATTTTAAAATCTTCGATAGATTAAAAAAAAAAAGAAGATATTTCAATCTGAAAAGATTCGCTTCATATGATAGAGTCACTAACATGAATCTGAAGGCTTCATTACTTCATATGATAGAATCACTAACATGAATCTGAAGACTTCATTACTTCATATGATAAAATCGCTAACATGAATCTGAAGGCTTCATTACTTCATATGATAAAATCACTAACATGAATCTGAAGGCTTCATTACTTCATATGATAAAATCGCTAACATGAATGTGAAGGCGTCATTACTTCATATGATAAAATCACTAACATGAATCTGCAGGCTCCATGCCATGCTTATAACTCTTTACAAATTGTAATCGCCAGGAATCATTCGACAGCCAGATCTGATCTCTTTTTTAAAAAAGGCCCTTATTTGACGTCATTTAATATTAGAATAGAACTATAACTCATTGAGTTCAATTATCAACACACTTGACAATATCAGAAGAGATCTACTTACTAATTAGTCAATAAAACTATATAACAGAGATGTCATCCCACTCTTTAGTTTATCTAAGCCTTTGATGCCCCAGATATTTCTAACATGCCAGTGAACTTTTTTCTTTCTTTAAAGTTTGGCTTTCACAATATCAGAGGCACCGCCATCTCATTAGAATTTTAGGAGTCGTATTTAAATAAACTCCAACCCAAAAACGATAATGTGGCGTCATATATCGGACTAGCAACGGGGCACTTCCGGAGGATGTCATTAGAAAAAGTAAACTCCACAGCCCTCAATGAATAGTGTGGTATCCCATCCCCGAGGTTGGTGTTGGTATATGTGACCATCTTGTCGGCGGAGAAGATGGGGTACTTGTGGCCATCTTGTCGGTGAAATCGATGGGGTATCTGTGGCCATCTTGTCGGTGGAGTCGATGGGGTATCAGTGGCCATCTTGTCGGTGGAGTAGATGGGGTACCTATGACCATCTTGTCGGTGGAGTCAATGGGGTATTGTGACCATCTTGTCGGTGGAGTCAAGGGATATCCATGACCATCTTGTCGGTGGATTCGATGGGGTATCTGGGACCATCTTGTCGGTGGAGTCGATGGGGTATCTGGGGCCATCTTTTTGGTGGAGTCGATGTGGTATCTGTGACCATCTTGTTGGTGGAGTCAACGGGGTATCTGGGACCATCTTGTCGGTGGATTTGATGGGGTACCCGGGACCATCTTTTCAGTGGATTTGATGGGGTACCCGGGACCATCTTTTCGGTGGATTTGATGGTGTACCCGGGACCATCTTTTCGGTGGAGTCGATGTGGTATCTGGGACCATCTTGTCGGTGGAGTTGATGGGGTATCTGGGACCATCTTGTCGGTGGAGTCGATGTGGTATCTTTGACCATCTTGTTGGTGGAGTCAACGGGGTATCTGGGACCATCTTGTTGGTGGAGTCGATGTGGTATCTGGGACCATCTTGTCGGTGGAGTCGATGTGGTATCTGGGACCATCTTGTCGGTGGAGTCGATGTGGTATCTGGGACCATCTTGTCGGTGGAGTCGATGTGGTATCTGGGACCATCTTGTCGGTGGAGTTGATGTGGTATCTGGGACCATCTTGTCGGCGGGTTCTGCGTTGAAATGAAATGAGCGAAACTCGCCGGGTTTAATATTATATCAAAATAAACAGGTATGACGTTTCGTGATAAGCAGAGACTGACAAAACCGCGAGATGACAAAACAGCGAGATGACAATGAAGCGAGATTGTATTGGGTCTTTTTCCTCCTACTATCAACTCCGTCATATTCGACTTGAGATAGTCTAGTTGGGCTGGAAACGCAAGCCGAGGGACGCAGTTTTTGTTGTTTTTTTTAACCTTTTTTTTTTTTTTTTTGAAAAAAAAGGTGGTGGGGGGTAGGAGGGTTGAGGGGAGAGTTCATACAGTAAAAGGGGGAGATGATGTCTTACTTATCCTAGGATTTGTGACACAAGAATTTCAACAGACAAAAACGATCAAATGTTTAAGACAGTTCAGTGAGGTTACTTGCTGGAAACGCAAGCCGAGGGACGCAGTTTTTGTTGTTTTTTTTAACCTTTTTTTTTTTTTTTGAAAAAAAAGGTGGTGGGGGGGAGGAGGGTTGAGGGGAGAGTTCATACAGTAAAAGTGGGAGATGATGTCTTACTTATCCTAGGATTTGTGACACAAGAATTTCAACAGACAAAAACGATCAAATGTTTAAGACAGTTCAGTGAGGTTACTCAAGGGGGAAGGTGTGAGATTTTAGAAGGGACGTGGTGGTGGAGGGGGTGGGAGGCAACACTTTACGCCAAGTCGATAAACGCTGTGTTCTCTTAGCAAGGTTCATTTACACTTACATTATATCAAATGTTCATGTAAACAGTTATATCAAAGGTTCATTTACACTTAAGTTAAATCAAATGTTCATGTACAGTTAAGTTATATCAAAGGTTCATTTACACTTAAGTTAAATCAAATGTTCCTTTACACTTAAGTTATATCAAATGTTCATTTACACTTAAGTTATGTCAATTTTTTCCACACCATACCATAGTGAAGAAAATTATTCGGCTGGCAATGGAATTTATCGCCAAGTCCGTAAAAAAAACAATACTTATTACAATTATCCGTGGGCTACAGATGTGAGTTACATAGAAACATATTTCTACTGAAGTCTAACAAAAATATTGTAGGTAAAAAAAAAATTAATAAAAAAAATTAATTCATTTTAATAGATGTATTAAGTAATTTGAGACATAACATTTTATATATATATTTGTTTCAATCATTCATACAGTTGCTTTTTTGATAAGTTCTCTAAAAAAATATCAATGTTCTTTTGGAAGCAGGCGTGTTTTCAATTGTGTTAACGCGAAATATAATTAATTGAGTTTTAAAGTACAAGCATGACATGTTGAGCTTCCGAAACTTTGACAACACGTTGAGACGTGTGTCACAATATACGGTGGTTGGAATTAGCCTTACCAGAAGTAGGCATGTGTTACTGTGTTATACTTCTACTTCCATATTTAGTCATACCTATGGATGGATTTCAATTCATCGGAGCATTTTTTTTTTTTTTA